CGAATTATATCTGGAGGGAACGTGGCACTAGAAACAATCCTGCGTTCGTGCACTAAAATGTAAGATTTGGCGGTGGGGGAGTGACGGTCTATGCTGGCATCTCCATTGATGTGCGTACTGATCTCCATATCATTTGAAATGGAGCTCATACCGGTCGTCGACGATATAAGGATGAGATCCTGAGACCTATAGTAGTCTCTTACGCTTCAGCAATTGGAGATGACTTATGTTAATTAACGACGATAGGAGGCAACATCGTGCTAACTTGGAGAATGATTTCCTTTTAGAGGAAGGAATCATGCGAATGGATTGGTCAGCATGTTCTCCGGACATGAACCAAATCGAGCATATTTGGGACATTCTAGGCAGATGAATTATTGGACGCCTACCCACCCCCCACAAACTCTCCCTGAACTTTAAAGGGCTGTTTTGGAGGAGTGGAACAGAATAGCCCAGCCTCTCATTAATAACCGCACTGACTCGATGCCACAAAGGTGTTCAACGTTGCTGACCGTTACGGAAAACCGTTCCCCTAACTAAAAACGATTTTCTTCTAAGGTAACCACTTTCTTTATTTGTTGCTTTCTCATATGAATATATTGTGTTTTTTTCCCTACCCAAATGCTCAATAAAAAGCATTTCTTTCTGCCAAACAAATGTTCTTCTTATCTCATATAGCCTACTACGTCTGTCGATTACGTATCAATCACTCAAACAATTCTCCAGGTGCAAGATCAACAAATAACCTCAATATCCTTCAATTGTTTTGAGAGGTGTATAATAATATTCAGATTTGCATCTGAAAATAGCATGCCATGCTTTTATATCTTATTTTACTAATTTTACATTAAAATATATCTATGTTTTTTTTCCAATGCCCACCTGTGTTAACATCCGTCAATTCAGGCATTTACAGGGCGAATTTGTTGGCCTCTCTTTCAGCCCGGGATTCGAACCCAGAACCTTTCTGATGCAAGGACAGTTCTCTGCCCCTTATACAGACCAGTCAGCGACATTAAAATATCCGCTGACCATAATAATTTTTAAAATTAATGTTTTTGGCAGCCCACTGGATTCCCAAAACCATGCTGAAGAGGTGTTAAGAAATTCTATTATACTTTTTAATACATAAATAAAATTAATAATTTTGTAAATAATTAAAATAAATTGGTATTTTTTTATATTATTTAACATAAATATTTACAAAATTATAGAATCAAACTAGAAACTTGACGACTATTATTTTGCCGATGTGGATAGGCATGCTTTGTTTCTTCGGAATAACTTATAATAAAATGAATGGTCTTTCAGTTGCGTTTATGGAAAAAATAATTAGTTTTTGTAAATGGGTTATTAATCTAAAACAAAAATTCGGTTTGAATTAAAAACATAAAAATATGGCAATACAGTGTTTGACGGTTATTATTTCTAAAAAAAATTAACATTAGACTTATGCATATTTTTTATTATTTTTTCTATATATTTTACACGTATTCTTTTTCTTTATTTTTCCTTTTCTTAATCACAAAATTGTCATCTACTTTGACGCATTTAAGGATCTTCATTAGCAGTGTCTTCCGAATCTCTATCCCTCCAAAAATTAGAAGAAAAAAAAGCCACAATTTAATAATCTACTCTTAAAATATCTTTATTTTTTAAATTCTCTATTATCTTTCGTTATTAAATTATCTTTACTGAACTATCTATCTTCAGAATGAGTAAATACTGAAATATTTCTGAGCTCTTTGAAACTCTCTTAAATTAAACTTTTTTAAAACTGTCTATTCAGAAAGATTTTTCCTCTAGATGAAAATAACCAAAATCAAAGGATTCTTCTAAATTTTTGATAACTGTTATGAATACAGGGAAACTTTTATGCTGAAATCAGATCTTAAATGTTTATCATTTTCATAAAACTGAAGCTTTTCATTTCATTGACGTCTTGTGCCATTTTCGTAAGCTCAGTTGGCACAATTTAATGACCGGAAAAAAATTGACAAAAAACTCCCGTAACAATTACAAGCTTACATCATTTATTTAAATAACTTATTATTCGCTAAAATTACGTCAATATGTCATATAAAGTCAGTAGGTCATCAATACGTCAATGAAACATATCATGTTCATGATACCATTTTTAATTGAAAAATCTTAATTTTGAAGTTATCGTATACAGTTATCCAGTTGAAGTTATCTTATTTATGTAAGAAAATTGATTCAATTATCATATCAGGTGTATACATCTTTAACAAACCAAAAAATTGGCTAAAAACTGTCATAACTATTACCAGCTCACCATATTTAAATAAACAGCATATTATTCTCTGAAATACTGTCAGTATGTCATGTAACTTCAACATGTCATCAATTAGTCAATTAAATATATCTTGTTCATATATGTATGATGCCATTTTTAAGTGAAAAATCCTAATGTTGATATACTGAATGCGACCAGTTTTATTTATCGTATTTATGCAAGAAACTTAATTAAATTATCATATCAGATACATGTATCATTAACGGACCGAAAATTTCCAGGTACATATATCATTAACAGACCAAAAAATTGGCTAAAAACTGTCATAACTATTACAAGCTCACAACATTTATCTAAACAGCATATTATTCGCTGAAATGTTGGCAAGTCATCAATACGTCATTTAGACATATCATACGTCATTGAAACATGTTCTTATACGTATGATATTTTTAAATGAAAAAACTTGATGTAGATTATTCCGACCGCTACCAGTTGAAGTTATCGTATTTATGCAAAAAAAACAAAAATTGATTAAATTATCATGTCAGATTTTGTATATCCTTAACAGACAGAAAATTTCCTCTTTTTCACATCCTTGCTTATGAATAACGACCTTCAAATGATTGTTTAAATTTATTATCTACTGTAAGATGAGATAATTTGAATCAAGTCATTGCCATTGATACACTAATGTGTATTTTAATTGTATGCTATCGTAATAATGTTTCCATTTTCGATATTTTTTATTACGTTTAATAGCTCTAATTTCTAACTTTTATCCAAATGTTTATCACCTTCCGCAATTAAATAATGTAGTATGAAAAATTTCAAAGAACTCACGAATTAATTTACTTCTGTCTTTCGACTTAAAGTGTAATGGGTTAATTACACTTTAAAACATAATATGTCAATTAAGGATTAATATATTTAGGTCAAATATAAAATTTTTTAACTTTAAAATTAAATTAGAATCCTTAACTTGATGTACAGTTTCGACTGTTCTTAAAAAATTTAATACTGGCAGCAAACTCATAAAAAGCAAGATAGAAATTTATTTTTTAGTTGCATTTTTTCCACGTTAAGAGATTCAGCTTTGCACCTTCTACAAAAAGAAATGGGGGGGGGGGAAGTTTTCCCTCTTATAAATAAGTTTCTATGGTCAAATTTATTTCCCGTTGGGATAATTTAGTGCTGATTACATAAGCAAACATAGTCTTGTTCTACACACTATATCGGTAGAAATTTAATGTCATTAAAAATAAAGGTTAGATTGGTCAAAAAATAATTCGAAGTTATGATCGTTTACTAGTGAAAATGAATTCGGGCACATGGGCCCTTTAGCCAACGCCTCGTATAACTGAAAGCCTCCACGTGGTTTTTCGTAGGTAGTTCGTTCAAACCACTATGAATTTATACCAATTAGTGAAAGAATTATTTAATATGAAATCCATTAAAAATTAGATAGTGGTAGCAAATATATGTCTAAAAATTTGTTTAATTTATTAATATAATTGGTTTGTTTCATTTACTTGTCAACCACTACAGATTCAATTCTCAAATATATATGACGAATTTCTTTCAAGTACTCTTAAAATCTGCACTCTGCACCAATGAAGCCCGGCTACCGGGGGAAGGCGAGACAGTGCAGAGGGAGTCCTCCCCTTTTGTAAATATCTTTTCTTTTGTAAATATCTCATTGTCTTTATTATATTATGTACTATTTGCGACTTATATTATATTTAACCCAGATTTGATTTCCCAATTGTATTTATATGCGATTTAACAAATGTTAAGTACCGCACCTCCCTTCCCATTCCATTCCATGGGTGAAAGCCCTTATATAGCAAGACGGAAAAGAGAAAAACCTGGTACGTAAAACATTTCATTCCAGCATTTTTTTCGAAAAAAAAATGAAATATCTGTAACTATCAAGATTTCTTTTATAATTCTGGCATATATATAAAACTGCTTCTTTTCCAAGATAAAGTAGATATTGGGTAAAAATTAAAAAAAAGAATAAGTAAACTCCTCCCCAAAACTAGCTATAACTGAAATGGTTTTACTACCAGCCTTTCCTCTTTTCCGTCTCGCTTTCACCCCTGTCCCATTCTTTCCTTTTACCCAAACTCGATGAAGGAGCAGATATCCGTTTAGGATAGGTACTCCGAAAATACTTGAATAGTTAGTTAGTTCTTTTAAAATAGAATTTGGGTTCATGCGCACAAGTGGTTCACTTTTGAAATAATCTGTGCAGACTACTTATAAGAAACCGTGTGGAGGTTTTCTGACGTAAAAGGTGATGGGTTCACCGGCGGAACCAAGATTATTAGAAGCACATAATTCGAGTAAACTTTTAATTCGTTTATGTTATTATCGTTACTAAAATGGTTTGAAGAAATGAATGCAATGTAGAACACACAAAAATAGTTTTAAGACACGGATGCCAACTTGCTGCGAATGAATATTTTCAAGTGATAGTTTATGAATTGTGATTCTTAGTTTAATAAATTCAATTGAGTACATTTTTATCCACCATTTATTTTTGAATAATTCTTTGGCTTATATAATTCGCCACTTTTTTCTTATATATCACGTTAAACCTTTTAAAAAAACTAGCAAAATCTGCCTAATATGTACAAATTTAGTTTGTAGTTATTTACCGTTGTGGCCAGACGGGCAAGCCATGTAAAATTAGCGTGGCATTCAACGTGATAAGTTACGTTGATGAAATATTGTTGTGCATTAGTAAATTGTGCATTTTATTAAAATATTGTTTTAAAATTAACAATCGTAGAGTCTGTTGACTCGCCGAATGTCACTTTTGCTCATTTGAGTTTTCGACACAACATCAGTTAGAAACCGTCCATTGATTCCGGTCATTGTTTTTAGATTGGATTTCCGGTCTTTGGTGAAAGCGTAAGACCCATACAGCATAATTGAATCATAGTCGAAAGATGACAGCAATCGATTTTCGTAAGACTTCAATTTAAAGAATTGATCTTCCATCCCTGAAAAATTCAATTAAAAAAATACATTATTGATTTCAGAACAGACTATCCGTAAGATCTAATAAACTCCTAAACATTCTTAAACAGAATGACAAAAAATAACTTAGACACATACAAATTAAAATTTGATACCGAAACCAAACTTTTAAAGAGACAAGAAAACATTACTACCTGTAACGCGTTTATAAAAAAAAATCAAGGAGACCCCTTTGTCCTAAATACTGCGATGTGAATCACGAAAAAATTTCTGCAAAGGGACTCATTATTTAATACTTTATCTAATTCATAACACAGACTTTTCTTAGGGATTTTATTGTTTTTTTAAAGTTTTCTATAAACCCTTGTCCTTACGATGGAGAAAATGAAAAATTCATTGGACTCAAGTCTAGAGCGAAAGGTGGTCCGGACCATCACCTCCTACATCAATAAGCCTCCACACGGTCTTTTATAAGTAGTCCGCGCAGTCTATTTAAAGAGTGAAATAGTTGTGCGCATGAACCCAAATTCTATTATAAAAGTAATTGAGAGAAATTTATTATATATATTTGAAAATTGAATCTGTAGTACAAGAGAATAAGGCAAATCAATAATATTCATAAATAAAATTAATTTTTAGTCACATATTTTCTACCACTTTCTTATTTTAACTAGATTTTGTATTAAATGACTCGTTCGGAAAATGGATATCCTTCACAATGGTCTGATCGGACTACCTATAAAAAACAGCGTCGAGGTTTTCAGTTATAGGAGGCGTTGTCTGGACATACATGTATTGTAAAGAAAATTCTCTGTTCACGGGCAGTCGGAAATTTGTCTTGGATTATCCAGTCGATTTAGCTGGGCACCTGTGCCACGAGCGTCCCCTATCACATTCATCATGAATTTAAGTTCCGTTTGCGTTGAATCATTATGATTAGAAGACAGTCTGGTTGCTTTATTTTCACTTCAAGCGCTCCACTTGAGGGGTCCTGGATCATCATGCTTGTCAACTTTTACCCTTTTCAAAATAGTGTTTCTTTTCGTGGTAGGGAAAATCTAATTAAATTAAGATTGTATGCTGGTAATTCATTAAAATTTAGCCAATTCTTATAAACACTAATAGAGATTTCGATTTAAACATGGAATGCAGAGTGCCTATCAAGAAGGGCTATATGTTCCTTCATCAGATTAAAAAAAGTAAAAATAAGGGAAAAGGGTTATGAGAAATTTAAGTCAGTAAATAAAGGATAATACACTATTAGAGAGATTGCAAAAGTACTGCTTACATGTGTAAATTATTTAAAAGTAAAAGTGTAGCAACCGCATAACTAAGCTACAACAGCGCCACCATGTACAAGGCAGTGGATGCTCAGACATCGAACTGAATGGACCTTCCTTTTATTTCTCTTTTCTTAATTAATTAAATTTATGTTTGTTTGTCCGTGTGCTATTTGTGTACTAATAAAATATTTGGCACTAAGCTTTTTCCCTTATTTTAAACCCCCCGAGATCTAGCAAGGGCCACAAAAGTAGTTAAAATCCTTTTGAGCCACATTTATTTAAAGAAAAGAAAATGTAATGGAAGCGGTCATTGTTAACCTCTTAGAAACGGGTGAGTCATATATGCATTCTCAGGGTGTCGATAATCAGGGGAAAAAAGATAAAACTAGTAGCCAAACTATTTTTATATCAGTTTTTTAGTATTCTGGGTAATAATAGTTTGCTTTATTTAATTCCCCACTACTCAGTTCGAATTAAAAATTGCATAGTTACACTTTTAACGCACATGGATTGGATGTGTTGGATTTAAAGTGAAAGCAAAAATAAGTCTGTCAATTTAGCTATGCCCAAACTTAAGCTACCGGTTTTTATTTTTACTCTCCTGATTCTGATTCCGTACGACTACATTTATGACTCACCAGTCCCGAAAAGGTTAAAAGGGGGTTTGTAAAATTTTTTCGAAACTAAGATTTTTGTTGGTTTTGGAATCTGTACAGATAAACGCAATGTTCAGAGTTGGAACGGGACTACATCTGGAGTAACTTCACCCATCAATAGTTTCTGTTCATTTTTGAAAAGGGATATGTGTAGCTCATGCCCCGTTTCTACAATGACATGGTATAAATATGATAATAGTGTATCATGGAGAATCGAAATATCGAGAAACGATTGCAATAATAATTATTAAAATCAGTGCTAGAATGAGGTTTATCAATGTTATGTTTTCGTAATTGTGGCAAAGTGAGCCCTAGTAACTTTAATATTATTATCTAACCCTTAACTACAGGCGCTTAATATTTTAACACAAGTACACGTGTGGCGTATTGTATACGCCACCAAAAAATCAAAAAAGTAAATCTATGCAACTCGTCAGTTTTCCAGCAGTAACCAACTTATCAATGCCATTGAAACAATAATACTGACGGACCATGTCAAGGACACGTGACTTTTCATCCAGCCATGATGTACCTGGAAAAGTGGGGCAGTACATCAACAGTTTGGTATCCCACGCATTCTCTGTGGTGGCAACTAAGAAGATGTTACTCAGCTCCCAACTCTTAAAGCTTATCCTTTAGCTGGACGTGTATCCATAAACAGCAGAAATGGGATAACCAGAGAACCCTTTTGATCTATGTTGTTGGTTATCAATTCTATTCAATATTGCAGAGATGACCTAGGTCTCAAACAGAAGCTAACTCAGTTACGCAAAGTCTGAATAGTGGCAGCGATGGAGGGAATGAGACTGAATTAACAGTTACTATACATTTTTGATTGATAACATGAGCCTATGTTCTGTCATTAACTTTTACAATTTGTCAAAGTACTTGTTTGGGGACTAAAGTTATTGCTTTTAACATAAAAGGATAATTCTTACTTCATCAGTTTTTCATTTCTTCCGTTTTTTCTTCTNTTTTTTTTTTTTTTTTTTTTTTTTTTTTTTTTTTTTTTTTTTTTTTTGATCAATGTGAAATGGGAATGTGTACTAAATTTCAAAAATGCAAAGTAACCAATTATAGCCTATAACCATTTCTTGTTATAAAATACCGAGTATTTTTTTAGACTGCCTTAAGAAGAGAATCCAACAATTTGGAAGCAATTATAACAATCTTTCCACAATTTTCTCGGATTTTGTCGAAAGTGCAGATTTGTAACACATCTCCTTTTAACATTGATCGCTATAATTATATAAATATTGCCACCACATTAAATACAAAAATTAAATCTTCGGGAAAAACCGGAAAATTGGCCATGTCTGTCTGTATCATTCTTGAATGCCTATAAATAAGTATGCTGATCAACCTCACAAGGAATAACAAAACGAACTCGTTTAGTCTTTAGATCAATAATTTACAAAAAAGTTTTACGATTTTACTGGTAGATCTAAGAATTTGTTTTCATAATATTCCTTGCAGACATGCCAGATTTCTATGCTTTTTGGAAAAAATTTCTTGAATTTGCCTTGAACAATCTTCTAAAACATTTACCCCTAAAAGAAAGATTGTTCGCGAGTAGTTACGATATAAATGTTCACGTTATTTTGTAGCTCATAGGTGAATTTCAAAGTGCAAAATTGCAACTTCTATGTTGTTTTTTTACGATTTTTACAACTGTAAATATTAAAAAAAATACTTAACCATTTGGAATATTTCCCCATATTATTGTCAAATAATCATCTCTATCAGAACGATTTTGTTCGTGGTAAAATCCTATTGCATGTCCTAGTTCATGAATAATTGTTCCGGACCATCCGCACCCGCGGCCAAGTGATACTGGTTGTTTTCCTCCAACTTTTCCGACATAAGAATAACACCTATGAAAAGATATGTGTTAATAAGATAAATATAAACCATAATAAACTGCATAGTTTCCAACTATCAAAACTTCTGCTTAAGTTTTTTTAACTGTTGTAAAGATGCAGAATGAAAACTTCTTTTAAGTTTCGGTAATATTTGATGAATTCGAGTAATTTATTCATTCTCATGCAAATACAAACTTGTATTCTCAATACTAAGAACAACTTTTGCAATAATTTCAAATTGATGAGCAGAGAGCACATATACGAAGGGGACAACATCTAGAGTTACAACAGGGATATGTATAAGGTTATAACGGAGTTCGAATCATTATCACAACTGCCAACTTTTACGCATTTTGCGTACAATTTTATTTTAATTTGCGCAGTTAAAATAAAATTTTTGCTCACCCAGAGTGGCCGAATGGGGAAAATCAACGTAAAGATGTACTTCCAGGCACTATGGAGAGGTGGTGAGGAACTAATATCGTTAAAAAGGGCATCAGAATTCATATGGAAAAAAAAAGATTCCAGGGCATCAAGATGAGCTGATGTGACTGGGGTAAAAATAATTTTGTCCTTGTTAAAATTGAATTTATGCCCAAGATTCAAACTATGTGTAGCAATGGATGATATCTTGTATTCTTCAAAACGGACAGATCTATCGTGTTAAGTCAGAATTTTGAAACGCGTTTATTTTTTCCGGTGTAGCAAAGGTCGTAATGACAAGAAAAGTAGTAAATGCCTTAACGATTATCAAAGTTAACAGAATCTTTAGGAGATCTTATTAACTTTGATAATAGTTATAGTTATATAATTAATGTGTTATAATTTTGTTAACAGGACTAAAAATGAAGTAAAACGGGAGAGAACCCAGCAAAAACAAATCTGTAGGTCCAGCTCCACAAAACTGCTGTTTGCCACCAGCTAAAGCGACGGGTCTGTGCCGGCAAAAGTCACTTTCAACTGTACTAAAGTGAATGGCTGGCCTTCTGTCGAGCCAACAATACCGGCCTATCGATGGCCGGTAGTACCTAACCCAGCAGTTACTGTCTAAAACGCGCTGGGTGAGTGATTGCCCGACATTTTCCAGTAGAGGGTAATCAATGAATCAATAATTGAGGGCCAGCAATTTATATACACCCAGCAGCATCCCTTTAGTTTATAGAGGTTTACNTCGAATCATTATCACAACTGCCAACTTTCACGCATTTTGCGTACAATTTTATTTTAATTTGAGCAGTTAAAATAAAATTTTTGCTCACCCAGAGTGGCCGAATGGGGGAAATCGAGGTTAAGATGTACTTCCAGGCACTATGGAGAGGTGGTGAGGAACTAATATCGTTAAAAAGGGCACCAGAATTCATATGAAAAAAAAAGATTCCAGGGCATCAAGATGAGCTGATGTGACTGTGGTAAAAATAATTTTGTCCTTGTTAAAATTGAATTTATGCCCAAGATTCAAACTATATGTAGCAATGGATGATATCTTGTATTCTTCAAAACGGACAGATCTATCGTGTTCATTAAGTCAGAATTTTAAAAGGCGTTTATTTTTACCGGTGTAGCAAAGGTCGCAATGACAAGAAAAGTAGTAAATGGCTTAACGATTATCAAAGTTAACCGAATCTTTAGGCGATTCTATTAAGTTTGATAATAGTTATAGTGATATAATTATGTGTTATAATTTTGTTAACAGGCCTAAAAATGAAGCAAAACAGGAGAGAATATTAGCAATTTTGTAACAATGGAGGAACAAACTGTAAAGTAACATGATCTCTGCGAGGATTAGAGGAAGAGAAACGTGTAAGTCTAACAAGTGCTGCGTTCAACTATAAAAGGGTTGGATCCACGGTTATCAGTATGAGAGCAGAAGACGTTATGTTTGGAGTTAAAAGAAGAATCAGAGATAAAGGTTTAGTGCTTGGAGAACAAAAGTATAAGATGCAGAAAATCTCTGAGAATTAGGATGATTAAAATTAATATTAGGGGGCTAAATATTAATATTAATAGACAACAAAATATTTACTATAAATAGAAGTGGAACATGATCATGGTACTTAGTTACGAGAACTTCTAAAAAAAATAAAGTTAAACTTAATTTCCGTGTGTGAAGTAAATTGAATGTTGTGGTCAATCGAGTTCACAACAGAAAATGCATTTTGGAAATTAGACAGGACAAACGTATCGACAACATATCTTTTCCTCCATGAGAATTTGAACGCTTTCGAAAATATTTCTTTGAAATAAAACGTGAATATGTCACAAAGAATAGGAGAAAAGGTTTTGGCCACGGCTATATTTATGTTAAAAATGTGTTAGCCTATGGTCCTTACACAATTTTAAAGACTGACCCAGACTTTTCTCATTCTACAGCCATTAAGAAAAAAATAAAAAGTTCTCGCACTCCTTCGGACTACACAAAACATGATATCATTCCTTCAGTTTCGAACTGTGCTCGTTTCTACTCCGTTCCTAAAGTTTACAAGCATCAACTTGCTTTTAGACCTATTGTGTCGAGCATTGATACTCCGTACTATTAATTTGCTCTCTGTTTAGCTTACATCATTTCACCTCTAACTTCCAACTATATCCATACTGTTAAAAATTCCCATGATTTTGTTTTCCCCCTCCAACCAAACTATGCTCGCTTTTGATATTGTATCTCTTTTCACCTTTTCACTTATGTCTCTATTTTCGTTGCTATTGTTTGCTTAAAACTACAGTCGGAAGAATTTCCTTATTTTTTCATTGAAATTTAAGCTATTATCTCCCTTGTCAGTTCTTGTATTCAGCAATTTGCTCTTTAATTCAATGGTAATTTTTATGAACAAATTGATGGTTTTGCGATGAGCAAATTCTTATATTTCCCCAAGATATTGCGTCTAAGAATCTCTCTGCAAATACAAGTAGTTTACCTTATTTGAGGAATATTTGTATAAAATTCAAACGAATAACTTTAGGAAACGTATGGAAAAATGGTTGAAAATGATAGTAGAAAGCAGATTTTCTTAGTAGTTTTGCCATTTTATTTGTTGCAAATGCTAAAAAATATTTTCCCTAATTTTAATACTTTTTCATATTTTAAAATATAACACAAAATGACTGTTATTAAATATTAACAGTTCATTCTGTTGCAAAAATATTTACCCGTCACCAGGAAAAAGATAAATGTAATCAGTCTCATTAGTCCAAAGCACAAAGTTGATGCAGGTGTGTTTTTTATAATGTCCAAAAGATGCTTGTAAAACATAATTTTCTGGAAAAAAATGCATATTTAGAGATTGTTTCTTCAATGACAATAGTAAAAATAAAGATTAATTAAAATTTAAGCCCTTCACCTTTAAAATGAACTAAACATACCTTAATATTAATAATGAGCTAAGCATTCTATAACATTGATTAAGGACTTTAACACTCCTTAGAAACATGGTAAAACAAATACGAATATGTTACAAGCTTTTATCAACAAATGTATCAGAAGAATTCATAATATAAAATGGTTTTACTAAATATCTAATAACGGATTATTCAAAATCGGCAAGCAAAAACCATTAGAAATAGAAATCAGAGTACACAAATGGTTGCGGATTGGACACATTATCAGAAAGCCTGAAAAATTCAAAGTAAATCAGGCGCTGGAATGAACACCCCAAGATAAACGGGCGAGGGGAAGACCTAAAATGACGTGGCTCAGAACTAGTTTGAATGAATTAAGGTCAATAATCAAAAATGAGCTTTGGTGGCTCAGGGGATAGAGCGTTCACCTTCCAATGAGGTAAGGCGGTTTCGAATCTCAGCGATGGCTAGTCGATACGAATTTCGCACCCGGCTCACACCGACCACAATACTGGCATCAATACCCTCAATGGCAGACGGATTATGGGCCGGAGTTCCCTTGCCGTCTGGCTAACCGTGGGTGGTTTGCGAGGTTTTCCTCTCCATGTAACGCAAATGAGGGTTAGTTCCATCAAGAAATCTTCCACAATGGCAAATTTCTCCCAATACTTGACCCAGGAGTTCCCTTGTCTTCTGGATTGGGTTCAAATTACAAGGCTACGAAGTTGAACATTAGTAGTATTAAACCCAAAATCGGGTCGGCTGTTCAACGATGGATATAAAGAATATATAATAATAATCAAAACATGGGGAGAAATAAAGTACCTAACCGCCACTAACAGGGTGAGATAGAGAGTCACAATAAAGGCTCTTAGCCACCATACGGTCTTTCATAAGTAGTCCGCGCAAACAATTTAAAGAGTGAACTAGTTTTGCGCATGAACCCAAAACCTTTTGTGGAAGTAATTGAGAGAAATTTATCATATAGGTTTGAGAATTGAATTTGTAGTGGGTGACAAGTGAATAAGGCAAACCAATAATATTCGTAAATAAAACAAATTTTTAGTCATATATTTGCTACCACTTTCTTATTTTAACTAGATTTCGCATTAAATGATTCGTTCGGAAAGTGGATATCCTTCATAGTGGTCTGATCAGACTTCCCATAAAAAACCGTGTGGAGGCTTATCTCTCTATGGAGTTGAAAATAAATTTATTTTCTCGAAAATACCAACGACATTCATCGTACAAATATAAAGTTAAAAAAACTCGAAATAACAAATAGAAAGCAAGAAAGACCTTAAAATAATTAAAATTTATAAGAGATTTTGATTTACAGTCTTGAAAGAAATTCCTAACAGAAACCTTATCTGAAAAGGAAAAAAAAACTATTTGCAATATTATTTTATTAGTAGTTTGTTTCCTAAGGAATCAATAAAAGCTGGTGACTATATTATGACTTATTAATTGATTTAAAATACATAAAAAACTCCCTGAGTGGCAAATTATTTAATTTCTATCAAAGCACACAAAGAAGTTGTTCTTAGTGACAATTCGTTCTTAGTGACATTCAATTATTGTCAAACCCTGAAACATCTAAAAGCTTTAAACTTAATTGATAAGTATGAGAAATCGAATGATTTCAACACTTCTGAAGTTATAAAATGATTTTTTAAGTATTTCTTGAGAAATATGAAGAAGTGTATAAGTATAGAAGTGTTTCCATTTTCTTCTGTACACCCCTATATTTATTAAGCTCGAATTTCAAGTTTCTCCGAGTTAAATTACAAGACTGAAGTAATTGATGTACCAGTCTTTACTTTTTGAAATGAAGTTCATTTGAAAGTTAGTCGTTGGTGAGATGCGGTAAACAGAGCTATTAGTTCTGTTACATAAATCTTCGCCAGGAGGTAATGGGTCATGTGCTTGTGGATGGTCATGCGCATGTGAAAAATGCTCTGATGTGATGTGGAAAAACAATTTATGCTTTTAGAAGGTCGTAGAACTTTCGGATTTTCATTGGTGTCTTCTGAGTGAGTAATACCTATTCCATACTCTTGCAATCATGCATGTTTTCTAATTCTGAAGTAACTTAAGAGTATAAGTAGATGAAAGTTAAGTTAAACGATTCTGCCCGATATAGTAGCTTTCAATTTACGTTAACATCACTGCTGAAATTAATATTTGCAATCACGCAACAATGGCTACGTATCACCACCACGGACGTGGCGGAAAGCGGCTGACCGAAAGACCTGCACGTGGCTCAACGTCGGATGAGGAATGCTCGGATTTTGAAACCAAAATGGCTAAAGAGTTAGCAGACATGGAAAGAAGAATTAAAGAAGATGAAAGGAAAAATAAAGAACTACTTGAGAAACTAAATCAATTGGAGCAGTTTCTCATGCCTGTGCCAAATAGGCCCGAAATACCGACAACACCAATTGATGTCATTGATATGAAAACTTATGAAGGAGGCCAACTTTTGAAACAGACGGGGAATGAGTCAACCACAGATTCAGAAAGCTCAACCAAAAATATTGCAGAACCCCCTTTAAAGAAGAAGAAAAAGAAAAATAATGTCAAAAAAGCTGAAGCAAATCTAATCATGACCACGAATAGTAAACTTTTTTCACCGATAGATACCGCCACCTCCTTACAACCATCTGAATCTATATCTGATACTGACGTAGCCCCACCCAAGGAGGATTCCAGTTCAACTGTAGATCCACCCACAACTCCAGCAAAAGTTCAACCAATTAAGCATATAAAAGTTCTTATTCGTGGTCTTCCAGTTGGATTCTGTACTGATCATATCTCCCAGCAACTGGCGAAGTCAGACATCATAACGCAAAAGATAATTCAGTTTAAGAGAAAAGTGTGCGGGACCTACAGGCTCCTCCCACTTTTTCTTACAATTCTCACAGAAACAGATGTTAATCGACAAATTTTCTCTATCACCAATATACAAAGTATCCCGGTCAGTATTGAAAGGTTCCGAGGCGGGCAAAATCCAATCCAGTGTTACAACTGCCAAGAATTTGGCCACAGTCAAAGATCATGTAATTCACCATCAAGATGTGTAAAGTGCGCCGCCAAACACCGATCATACGAGTGCCAAAAAGATAAAAATACACAACCTAAGTGCAGCAACTGCGGAGACTCTCATACAGCCAACTACACGGGGTGCAGAGCCCGTCCCCGCAGGAGGGGAACACGTGCCATACCACCAACAATAACAGGACTTGCTCAAAGGCTGGTTACAATAATTAAAGAATTGCAAGAACTTTTAAAAAATCAAGAAGTGCTTCAACTGTTTCAAAGGATTATGGGGGAAGCCACTCTTGCACAGTAACATATTTTTTTTTTACTTGATTTGAACTTTTATTTGAACTCTTATTATTATTCAGAACTCTAATTTCCCATACAGATTATAAATAAATACTGCATACTGCCCTTTCAAATTAAAGTTGAGCATACTAGATGGCGCCACTAAGGCTTGTCGAAAATTTATGTTAAATCTTCACGTTCTTGAATCACGACTTTTGTATATACATAATCATCATTTATTAATGCTCATATTCAATTTTCTGTACATATTTATGGCAATTAATGTAAATATCTTTGTTCAAGTTGTAATTTTTTCAAATCAACGTTATATTTTCTGTACATATTTTCATGGCAATTACTGTAAATATCTCTGTTCAAGTTTGTATTTTCTCTAATCATGGTAATATTATTGTAAAGCTACCACAACGACTGCTTATATTCAAAATGTTTTTAACTCATTGTTGTAATTTCATGATGAATGGGATAGGGGCCGCTACGCGGCCCAGGTGCCCAGTTGTTTTAAAATAAAGTAAAGTACTTCGCCAGGAATCCACCTGTGCCACTAATTATATTTTGGAAATGGTAAAGGAAATGCCACCTACGACTGAAAGCCTCCACGCGGTTTTTTTATAGATAGTCCGATCAGACCATTATGAAGGTAAGCCAGTTTACGAAAGAGCCCTTTAACAGAAAATCTAGTAAAAAAATGAAAGTGGTAGTCTATGTGGTAGTGGTATGTCTAAAAAAAATTTTAATTTATGAATACGATTGGTATGTCTTATTTATTTGTCTACCACTATACAATAAATTTTGAAATATATATGATAAATTTCTCTTTGGGTTCATGCGCTAATGTATTTAATGAACAATATTTCGCTTATATTTATATATGTCAATAGATGTCAATTTAGATTCGATATTCAAATGTTATATTTACTATATTAATTTATGTCATCCTATGTATATATATTTCAAATTATGTTTATATTTANCAAAACTAAAGATTTACTTCTTTAAGGACTTGATTTGTCGTTACAACATACTACAACTTCAAAGATATTTAGGACCTCCTAAAATACGAAAAAACAGAATCGATGAATCGGTTAGTGGCGCTTTGCGCCAAACGCCGAGATAACCCCAATATCCAGCATCTAGGTTCATGCGCTGATATGCCAACTTTCTCCGCTTTGTAAAATAGTATATTCTAGTGGTAGCAAAATTTAAGTTACTTTTAGCTTAGTATTTTTCCTTTTAAAAAAATTTTTCACCACTAAATATCAAAAATTATAAATATGATATAAGATGCAACGTTAAATCATCAATCAACTGGTTACTCAATTAAAAAGTTGGCGTAACTGTCCGTCTCTAACGATTTTTACTATATAATTTGCTACCCCTTTGTTAAAATTATTCCAGAAAGCGGAGCAGTTGGCATTCCTGCATGCGCACAACCGGTTCACTTTTTAACAGTCTGGGCTATTTATAAATTTATTTATTATACTATTTATTATTTATTATTATTATACTATTTATTAAAAAAAACCATGTGGAGGTTACATACAAGTGGGTTACGTTACATTAACATGCCTGCCAATTACTACGCTGTTTGCAATATATTTCGTAGTATGGTAAACATTTACAAGCCTAACCTTTCAGAACAGCTTGTAATTTTCAGGGATGCCAACTGCTCCGCTCTCTAGAAAAATTTTAATAAAGAGGTAAATAGTATAACTTGCAAAATAAGCATAGTTACGCCTACTTTAAAAAAACAGTAGCCAAATAATTAATGCTTTTCGGTTGCATGTTACATGATTTTTATAATTTTTGATATTTAGTGGTGGAAAAATGATTTAAAATTAAAAATACTAAACTAAAAATAAGTTAAATATCGGAACCGCTAGAAAATACTATTTTGCAGAGCGGAGCAAGTTGGCATCTCTGAATTTTGCTAACATATAACGAGCTGTGCAATACGTTAAACTGATCAAAATGCATAAGAATACGAAGTGCATATGAACTTTTAAATCATTTATAAGTAGTGGTAAGAAAATATGTTTAAATGAATAAAAAAATTATATGATAAAACATTGCTACCACTAGAATAAGTTTTTATAAAAAGCATCGAAAGTTGGCAGCCCCGTATTTACCAATAGTGGAGTGTAAACCTGGGTCCTTCTTATACGGAACAACTCCTTTCGGCCAAAGTTGAATTTTTTTGATGACAGCATTCTTATCCTGAATAAAAAAGACATAATTTCATTATTAGAAAATTTCTGAAATGCTACATCTTTTTAAAAGAATTTTTAAACATTCCCAAAAGCAAAAATCTTTTATAGTGATATAGTAAAATATCTCCTGGAAAAACCGAAGTTAAAGGGAAATCTAACAATTTTCTACATTCTGTCCTGGCGCATCAAATCAAAGAATAAAAAATTTCTCATCTGTAGTAGGAGTAATAAAAATATATAATATAATTTTATAAAACAATGTAATTTAAATAGGCTTTTCTGCGTTCAATAATGGTTTGAAAATGCTTTCAAAAAAATTTTCCAGTTTGTTATAAGCAACTGGATTTTCTTATAATATAAATTAATAATCTATATTATATAAAACGCTAATACGTACGTATGTATGTATCAATAAAACCGATGATATTTCTTTTCTCGCGCTGGCAACAGTTTTCATTTTTAATTGATTGGATTCGGCGCGCAAGAGCACGTAGTGAGCAACCAGATAACAATAACCAGAGTGAGCATTATCAGGTTGTTCAATTCAGATTCATGCACTAAAAACATGACAATATTTAATTTAAACTCAATTA